CAGCTTCGCCGGCCTACGTGCATGTGGAGAAGAGCAGCACGCGGCACAAGCTTGACCCACGCTCACGCGTTGGCGTCTACGTCGGCTTCGCCGAGGAGGACCAGGCCCACGTCGTCTGGATGCCGGACACGCGACGCGTTGTCCACACCATCCACGCACGCTTCGGCGCCATCAAGAACAAGGACGTCGCCTCCTCTCAGCAGCAGCAAGAGCAGAACAGCGGTGCCTCTGCTTCGCATGCCAACAAGACCGCTCAGCGTTCAACCGAGGACAGTGCCACCGGCGCTCCCACTGCACCACGTGTGGGGGAGCCGCAGCTCCAGCCACGCGCCCTTGGCGGCTCCGTCTGGGACCAGCTGCTGTTGTCCGGGACCCTCGGCGACAAGGACACCTCTGGTGGCTCAACCACCACGTGTCACGTTGCCACCAGCGCTGCTGGTACGGGGGAGAAGACATCAGCAGTGGGTGGTCATCTACCAGACATCGCTGCTGGCAGTGTTGCCACGTCAGCTGAGCCAGCCACCGTCAAGGAGGCGCTTGCCTCGCCAGACTGTGAGGAGTGGCGCCAAGCCATCCTGGACGAGTTTGCGGCAATGCAGGCCAATGACGTCTACGACGTCGTGCCTCGCGCTGACCTTCCCAAGGGCCACAAGCTGCTCCGCAGCATGGTCATTTTTCGGAAGCGTGACGACCAGGGCAAGGTGATCAAGTACAAGGCGCGCTGGGTTGCCAAGGGCTACTCCCAGGTCCACGGTGTCAATTATACGGACACCTTTGCCCCGACGGCCACCATCTCAGCCATCCGCACCATGCTCGCCATGGCCGTCGCGCGTGGCATGGACATCCAGCAGATGGACGTCAACACGGCGTTCCTCAACGCGCCCGTGGATCACGAGATCTACGTCCAGCCACCGGCCGTCGACGGCATCTTCTCGCCGAATACGGTCCTGCGCCTCAAGCGCGGGTTGTATGGCCTGAAGCAGAGCCCGCGCCTGTGGAACCACACGCTGGACGCCTGGATGCGCGAGCAGGACTTCGTCGCCACAGCCACGGACGCCTGCATCTACCGCCGCACCCGCACAGGTGGCAAGGTGATGTGGGTTGCCGTCTACGTGGACGACCTGCTCATCTTCGCCGACGGCGACAACGACATGGCCGCCTTCAAGAAGGCCATCTCCAAGCGCTTCAAGATGAAGGACCTGGGCAGCCCAGACATATGTCTCGGCATCAAGGTGCAGCACAACCGCAAGGCCAGGACCGTCACCATGAGCCAGGAGCACTACCTGCGCAACGTGCTGGAGACCTTCGGCATGGCTGACTGCAAGCCGGTCGGCACGCCGCTCTGCACGGGCTACGTCGACAAGCCAGCCGACAAGGAGGAGCCACTCCCGGACGTGCCGTTCCGCGAGCTGCTTGGCTCCCTCCTCTATGCTGCGACGATGACGCGCCCAGACATCTCGGCGGCTGTCTCCATCCTGTCTCGCCGTATGCAGCACTTCGGCATGGACCACTGGAAGGCTGCCAAGCACCTTCTTCGCTACATCAAGGGCACCTTGTCCTACACCATCAAGTACGCCGCCACTGGCGACACCAGCAACGGCAGCACTGCCGACGGCGTGCTCTCAGCGTACTCGGATGCGTCATTCGCCTCCGACGTTGACACGCGACGTTCCCGCACGGGCTTCGTCGTCTTCTGTTCCACGGGCCCGTGTCCTGAAACTCCAAGCTGCAGGCCACCGT